TGAAACTGCCGACACGAATGGTAGAATAAATGTATTATACTTTAAGAGAAGGTTTGAAATTTTTTGCTAGCCTTAAGTCCCGTGTTGAGAAAAGGTGTAGTTGAGTCAAGTATTTTATAGTTTTTGGATACAAAGTTTTCTATAGGAGAGGGAGTTCTGGGAGGAGGAAGGAGATCATTGAGTTGTGAGAACTGGTTTTGAAGAGTCGCCAGAAATTGAGCGTTTTCGCACTCATGGAAATGCTAGCCAATTGCACTAGAAGAGAGTCTGGTTGCATGTTCTCTGAGCCATACAGACAGGCATCTTGGTGTCATGCCGATGTAGGTTTTACAACAGCCAGGGCAAGATATTTTGTATACAATATTACTACGAGAAAGTGAAGGAAGTTTGTTCTTGTTAGAGACAAAATAGGACAGGTTTTTTTGTCATAAATAGTAACAAATTTCACCTGTTGTGAAAAATGTCTTTGCATTTTCTTAAAACAGGACTTTAAGGACGATATTTTGAAGATAAGGTTGAAAACTCACTTCGCTTAAGTAAGGGCATACGAAGAGAAATGTTCTCCACCATTTAACCGAAACTTTCGCCATTCTCAAGCATGACAAGTGAAATGGCATTGTACTTATAAATTTTTCTGATTATACATCTTCTGTCGAATACCTCTTCTCTAACACCTCCAATTTTTAGAAATAGGATCACGACCCGACATTGACCAGACTTCGTTCTCTTCAAGACTACCTACTCAACAAACCTGGTGAAATTACTGACGAGTAATTTGACCCTGCTAAACCTGTTACACCATAATTTAGTGGAGCCTGTGGTTCACCAAGTACACACAAGTATTATGATACTTTACCGAAATTCAGACCAATAGCTGACACTGCTAACACTCCTCACTACAAAGTTGGCAAATTTTTATCTTCCCTATTATATCATCTCACTCTAAATTCTTTTTGTCTTTCTGACTCTTTTGACACATTAACTAATATTAATAACATTCGTAGACATCTGTTCGCTGAAGGCTATCAATTTGTTTCATTCGACGTTGACTGACTTTTTACCAAAGTTCCGTTGTCTCATACAGTCAATATAATTTTAGACTGCATTTACGATGAACACATAATTTCAACAATTTAAAAAAAGTCTACATTAAAAAAATCATGTTAGATTTCTTTAACAAAATGGCCTTTTCTTTTAACAACACCATTTATACCCAAAAAGACGGCGTTTCTATGGGTTCCTCGATAGGACATTTCCTTGCTAATATAATTTTTACCGAAGTTGAAAAATTAATAGTTTTCGATCTCATCAATGATGGCACAATGAAATTGTACAACCGTTACGTTGATGACACGCTTGTTCTAATCAAACCCTCCAATATTTCCACTGTCTTATCGAAACTTTATAGTTTTGATGCCAAACTCACATTCACAGTTGATACATTTCGCGATGGCATAATTCATTTTCTAGGTAGAAAAATTTCGGTTGATGGAACTGGCATTTAACGAAAAGACACCCACACTGGTCAGTCTTTGGCTTCGAACCATTTAATCGAAAAATTGCATGGTTAAATTCTCTTTACCACCGTCCCTTCAAAATTTGTAGCAATAAAACACTTTTGAACTGTCAAATTGAAATACTCAAATCTTACATATCTTCACACGGTTATCCTAACAGTGTTGAAAACTTTTTAGATAAAAAAATAAAATCCAAATACAATGATTCTATTCCCATCGACAACCGCTCTTCCATTGATGATAATCTACCTAAAATTAGAGTTCGTATTCCTTATCTTGGCGTACAGAAAATACAACAACATTTTTCTCAACCGGTGAAATTTGTTACTATTTATGACACTAAAAACCTGTCCAATTTTGTCTCTAACAAGGACAAACTTCACTTTCTCGCAGTAAGCTTGTATACAAAATAACTTGCCCTGGCTGCAGTAGAAAATACATCTGCATGACACAAAGTTGCTTGCCTGTATGGCTCAAAGAACATGCTACCAGACTCTCTTCTAGTGCAGTTGGCTAGCATTTGAGTGCTAAAACGCTCAATTCCTGGCGACTCTACAAAACCAATTCTCACAACTCAATAATATCCTTCTACCTCCCAGAACTCCCTCTCCTGTAGAAAACTTTGTATCCAAAAACTAAAAAATACTTGACTCAACCAAATCTAACAACTACCACATTCTTGTTTTTCTTGAAGCACTTCTCATCAAACATAAGAAACTTTTTCTCAACACGGGTCTTAAGGCTAGCAAAGAATTACAGCTCTTTTTATAAATTATACTACACTTATTCTACCATTCAGATCGGCAGTTTCAATTCATCCTTTTGAAGTACTACACCTCTTCCAACTCTGCCTTTGTAAATATCACACTATTTAATTTGTTATTCTTACTTCCGCTTACCTATTTCATGCGTTATAAATATATATGTGAGTAGATATCATGCAGCTTTGTCACACTTTTGTCACAGAGCTCTTACCCGTGCCAGTTAGTTTCCATTCCCCTGAAGTTGATCGGTGCGCGCGCATGTCAACCGGAAATAAGGTTTAATAAACATGGCATGACATTGGATGGTGTGAAAATCGGAAATACGACAAAGCTGGAAGTTGCATGCTATTGACAAGTAACATTAGATCCGTTTCCTTTTCTCAATCAAAGGTAAAAACGGTAGAAAACGAGGTAATTGCATTTTATAGCTTATACTTTATCGAAAGGTTTACATTCTATCTCTTGAAACAAATGGAATTGAATGTAGACATTGATCTGGCATTAAGAATGAACAAATTGCTTTTGGAGTCAGAAAAGAATGAAATAACTGTACGTCAAAGTTTGTTAGAAAATAAACTTTTAGACTGCTATGCTGAAGAAATTGCTGCAAAGATAAACGCTGAAGTAAATAAGAACTGCAATGGATGCATGATTGATCATCCCTCTCAACGCTAGCATGACTGTCTCATGATGGAGCATGACGAGCGTATGTTGTTGCATTTTGATGATGCCTTGGAAAATGTGTCCAAAGAGATTGTGATCAAAGATTTTATGAAAAGCATTGAAGATGTCAAGCCACCCGTTAATGGACTTGAGATACTAAAATACACTTGTAACGACTGGCGTAAAATATTTGTTTCGGATAAAAAGAACAAACTTGAAACGCGAGTCGTTAAGCTTTTGTAAATATATATTTTTATTTGTTCCTGTTCGATTCGTAAGGTCAAACAACAAACTTGAAACACGAGTCGTTAAGCTTTTGTAAATATATATTTTTATTTATTCCCGTTCGATTCGTAAGGTCAAACCATTACATTGTTCTAAATGAAATATAAGAAACATGTATGAATTTACTTTACATGTTAGCAATTCTGTATACATATACGTAAGCGATGTAATATTACATAGAAAAAAACATTTTACGACAACTACAAACGAATTAAAACTTACTCGATAAGGTCTTTTATGTGACGATACATGCCCACACGAGGGTTTTACAAGATAATCATCACAGTGATCACATTTTTCTAAAAAATAAAATCGACGCCTCTGTTAAAGTTAATACAAACACTCTAAGGAACAGAAAAAAGACAAACGGTACTTACTGAAGGTATAAAACGACGCCTATGGCGAGGCCATCCTTCTTCGATTGCATGTTTGGATATTGCATCTTCACAAAGGCTCTCTGTTTCGTAAGTGGTTGAGATACACTACACATGAACATGATGCAAAAAGATACTCAACTCTCACACATCCTTCACCAAGACGGTTTAAGTGACGAATAAAGGCAAAAACTTTTCAACACAAACTTTGAGCAATTCCTTAATTTGAAGAAACAAAAAGATATTCAGATACCCACAGTACGCGTGATGGATACAACGGACGGGGAAGAAAGAAACTCGGTAATAAACAACGAAGTGCGTACATTATCTGACTCCGTCATTGTACAAAGTGTGCCGAAGACGATGCGTGAACGCGCAACAGCAATACTGCAGCGTCTCAAAACAAAGCCAGATATAATAACTTGGGATGATTCAGGACAAGTCAAACTTGACAGTGTTATTATTCCTCAATCAAATATATCTGACCTGATCAGCGACGCCGTAAGAGGGAGAAAGAACTTCAATCCTACAGGTTCTAGAGAATTCTTTCGCGTTTTATCAAAAATAAACATTCCTCGTGATTTGGTTCGGAACGATGTAAGATGGGAAGAAGCTCAAATGGAAACTTCGCCCAATGAAGAAGATGGAATAGCCCACCACAGAGGCTCAAGAACGAAAATGACAACACCTAAAGCCCCCCCCTACACTAAAGAAAACTCGTTTACGTTGGATAGACTATTAAAATTTGACATGTAAAAATTTGTTTTGTTTAAATAAATTGAGCAGTTGATATCAATTTCCTGACTGTTATCATTAGAATATGCAAATAGAAAGCACAGGCAATTAGTTTACACAAAGAAATTTTATTGATAATAAACGGCTCAAGCTTTTACAACAAATTTTATACTTGACTGAATGCTATCGTTTAGGGTTACACTAGTTTCTATATGAAAATGTCTGCTAACGAAACTTGATACGTTGTTATCGTTCTCAACAGTATTACCATCAAACATGTTTACAATCTTATTCATGCTATATCCTCGCACTCTACGGCTGAGGTAATATATACAATATTGTCCACATACATCCGTCCAGATACTTTGCAATTGACGTTTATTAAACCCCCAATCATAATGTTTCAAATAATCTCTAAAGAACTTATGATATCACCCTGGTGGTTGTCCATAGCTATCAAAGAATTCAGCTTTTTCTTCTGAAGGAAAGTAAAAGGCAACCCAATGGGTCCCCGGTTTTCCGCTTACACCCGTGTTTGCGATAAATCCTTTTGGGTAGCTTTCGATTTCTTTAGGCAGACGGTCGGCTGGAAAAACGCCGAGAAATTTTTTTCCTGTTACCGGATCAGATTTCAAAGCGGTCCATATTTGTGAGGTGTTCATTTATCCAATGTAGTCATAAACGACATTTCTCCCTCCATCGATTTGTATTATATTTTCAAACTCTCCATAGCAGACAAGGCTAACTGCATGAGTTGGCGGTGTCGAGAATTGTAAGTCAATGGCTAGGTTTCCTTTTTGCACAGTGTTAAAATGTTCGGATGCACTGCACATATCGGAGGTAAAGTCCGCGCTGAACAGGGCAAAACCGTTGGGGAAATCTTTACGTGTAATGCCATTGCCTGTGTCGTAATACATTTTCCCAGTGCCTGAAAACTGCGATAGAAATGCTTCTATAAATCTTGGATTCGCACCAAAGGACAAATTGATTGATTTAAATGGTACAGATTCACCATTTATTGAAATGCCTAAAGATGAAATGTTGAAATGCTGGAAATTGAATGGGTTCTTTTTATAAGCTCCGTTGAATGACGCACTTTCAACAAGACCGAAAACAAACGATTTAGGCACTAAACCATTGAAAAGGTTATCTTTTTGCAGCGAAGGGTTTCCAGAAGGAATAATAAAACTTTTACAGTCCACACGTCTTACTGGGTAAATGGCTGGACCTTTTTTCAGGGCAACTTTGTGAGCCAGAGATATACTAGGATTCACTTTGACTTTACGAACTTTAAGGTATGCATCTATCAGTTTCACTCTAAAGGCTGCACCGTCCACCGATGACATTAAGACAAATTCGTCACTGGTACGGTTCATGACCACTTTCAAATCAACATAGCTAAGTAAGTAACGTTCACCAAAGAAAACATCGCAAAAGATAGGACCTGCCATATCAACAATTTTACTTCCCATGATAAACTTATTTCTTGTCTTCAAACCCCTGTTTGGACTTGCGTGGGCAGGATCTGCATTATCCATCTGACCTGCAGTATCTTTGTAAAATAACGCAGCGGTGAGCTGGGATTGTTTGGCTGACGGACCATAATTTAAAAGTGTGCCGAGATATGCACGATATGGGTATGTTCCTGTTGCTTGTGTAACTAACTTTCCTTTTAGAAACACGTCAACTTGCTTGAACAAACTGTGCAAGAAATTGTTTACAGGTCCAACTTTAGTGTCATCATCGATATCCCCACCATTGGCTTTTGTTACTTTCGCTCTAGCTACCAATATTGTCTTAGACATGTCAACATAATCTTCTGTGCCGGGCGCTAAAAATGTAATTGGTCCATTTTCAGATACGTTGGACACAGGTTGATGATCAATCCAATGCCCCTTTTCTAAACTGACTTGTGTTGGTGGGACAGAAAATAAATCAAGTTCGGTTTGTGTACATTCTACAGATTTTGGATGAACGAAATCCATATTTAGCCGAAAATGTCCTCTGCTTCTTTAGCTGCTTTACGTCTCTTGGCTGAACTGTGAATGGTAATGGAAGTCGTCGCCTTTCTCTTTTTAGCTGGTTTTCTTGACCGTTTCTTTGAAGACTTTCCTCTTCCTGTTTGAGCAAACTGCTGCATTCTGTTTACAGCCATTTTCTCCACATCTTTAGCAGCCTGATTTACTCGCGATTTTGCAGACTCTTTTACACTTTTCCCGGAGATGACATTGCCTAAAACGTTTGCTCCTGTGTTAAGAGCAATTTTACCCAGAGCTTTTGCACTGCTTTTTGCCTGAGGTATTACAGCTCCAGCCAAACTGCGAAATAAGCCACCAAGACCATAACCCACTTGTCCATATCCTCTTTGCCATGGTGCTCCTTTAAACACTGGTGATGCACCGTATCCTCGTTGTTGGTTGAGTTAATATTGTACATAACGATTTGTTAGAGTCATATTTCTTATGTAAAATAAGACGAAGCTTGCTTTCTGAAATGAAGTGTCACTATCGACTTCCCTCGTTCAAATGCGATGGGGTTTCCTAACTCGTCCCTTAAGAGAATTTCGATGTCCTCAAAAGACTTTGTTTGCACGGGTATGTATTGGATATTAGTGAATGTTCTTGAAACAATGTCTCCATATTTTCCTTGAGTGGTAACTGCCTTTAGTAATTTTACATTGACGTCCCAACAACTTGCGGTTGTACAATGTTGCAATATACATACATCATGACGGATCCGTGCAAATCACAAGCATAAGGGCTTTCGGTTGTTTTTAAAATCTCTACGTCTTTTCCGCCAAAACCGAGTAAGACCGACATTCGTTGATTAAATGATATTTTGTAACCCTGTCTTACATGCACTTTAATTTTTTCTGTTCGGGGGTCAAATCTCAATTTGATATTGTCTTTTACTTCTTTGTCAAGAGTCTCATTAACTGATTTTACTAGGTCGAAGGTGTTTTCATACAGGCCATAGTCGACAAATACCGGAGTAGGTTGACCTGTTTTGTGAGTTACATTTATATGTGTATCCAAACCTTTTTTCAACGTGTACCATGTATGAGGATATGGAATTGAATACAATCCTACTTCCCAATTACCATTTAAATTCACAACGTGAGGTAGTTTTACGCGAAAACCTGAAATCTTATTCTCAGGAAATACAGAGAGAGATGCATTACTAGGTAATGTCAGATAGAAGTGTGTCCCGCTCATCTTTAAGGTATAATGTGAAATGAAAAAATCATGAAAACGGTTACGTTTTATATATGTATTTCCGATGCTGGTACCCATGAATTAAATTTGTTAGGGTAACCAGACCACTTTACAAAATATTGTACATTGCCCCCTCTACCACGTTTCTTAAGTATTTTTCAATCTCATAAACATCGTCTTTCTTGATGACTTTTGAAGTTCTTTTCATAAAATGTTCCTTCAAGTTCGTCCCTTCATGATCTTTCAGTCTGTATACAGGAGGATTGCGCGGTATTTTTGACTTACAGTGAAAATTTCTTTTGAAAATTCGGTAAATACCCTTCTCAAACCTTCGTTTTATTTTACTTATTCGTACTTGGTCACCTATATCAAACTTATATTTTACATGCGTAGGTTTATTTAATTTGCTATCACCATATAAATTTTGCCGAATTCTATCTTCATTTTCACTTGTAACGTTGATCGGTTTTTCCTTAATGCTGCGATGCATGCTATGATTATAAGAATACAGTAGATCAGGAAGCATGTCAATGTATCTCATGGTTTTGTTTGCTGTGAAGTAGCGCCACATTTTAGTTTTCAGTGTACGTATCAAACGTTCAACGATGGATGCCTTCGTCTCGTTAAATGTATTAAACAAGGTAACGTTTTCTTCTGCCAAAGTTTCTTAAAGTCTCGATTAAAAACTCCGAGCCTTGATCCGTTTGAATGTGTGTTGGTTTACGTCCTGATGACAAAATCTTTTAAAAGCTTCTACCAACGACGATCCTGTTTTCTTTTTAATGGAACAGCCCATGCATATTTGGAAAAACATCAATACAGATAAGAAGATAGCGATAACCATCATTATACTTTTGCAAAGATTGCATGTCTGCAAGATCCAATTGCCACTGGTCGTCAATACCACTCACTACGACACGATTTCTTTCAAACTTTCTTCGAATAGGTTTATGCAAAGAGTATGCGTCTTGTTGCATGAGCCATTCTTTAATTCTTTCACGACTAATGTCATATATTCCTTCTGCCTTTACATCGCGGTACAAACGTTCAACACCTCCGTAGCTTCCAGGACGTTTTGGATTGAAGTATACACCGGCTAAGTACTGGTCAACGTTACTCATGACAATGTTCTCGTGATAATAATTTTGCAATTAGATGTCAATTTCTTTTAACTACTCATTATCGAGGGGTTCAATGTTTTCAGTTACAGGCAGTGTTTCTTCTATCGCATTATCTGTTGGAAGTTTAATTGCGGCTGGTCCATAATTTTTAACAGTTTTACTTGTGTATCCTGCTTGCAAATGACCCTTAAGATTGAGATCGTTGCGTCCGAAACTTATACCCAGGCGAAACATTTTCTGACGATTATGATTTTTATCTCTTTTCAAATTCTCGCTGTAGCCTTTACTCCCGCAAATCCCCATACTTGTCTAGCGGCTAATCCAGACCTCCCAATGAAATGAACACTATAACGTTTTTTCATTCGCCTTTATACGTTTTTGAAAAAGACATTTTTACTGGTTTATGTAGTCCATTGATCACTTTGGTTTGTTATCGTGGTCATTCATACTACAATCTCAAATACAGCCAAGTTGGCAACTGGAATATTTATTAAAATGAAACAAATAGTCTCATACAGATGTTCTATACTTCAATTTACAAGCACAATCAACATAATCAAACAAATTTACAAAAAATGGTGGTCTAATTGTTTGTGTGTAAATTGACATAAGTTCATTCCACGGTGCTTTTCAGAGTTTCTCATAGTATATCTTTTGAGAAGATGTTGGTCCACTGTACTTTAGAAACTTGAAGGCTTCACATATTCCATTCCAGACATGTTCGTGATTAATTGTTTCGACTGCTCGAGCTGCAAAATTGAACCAACGATCTTCCTCAGTCATCATTTCTAAAACGTTTTGATACTCTGCCCAAGGGTCTGCTTTACTTTCATCCTTTTCAGCTCTTCGTAGCTCTTGAATCTTTTTACTTATAAAATCCACAAAAATCAAGTTGATAAGATCGCTGTGACTAACTTCTTCAAACTCAACAGTGTCAGCATGTATCTGATTAAACATGTGTGCCATATTTTTTGTTTTTTTTCAAAACGTCCAAAAGCAATGCAATAATAAACAACGCAAATAACATTTTTTAAGACGATAGTTCGACTATATAGTTTGAAGAATGAATACACAATAACATAGATCCGGTTTATTAACCAATAAAACATAAGGCGGTCTAATGTTATTTGTTAATAGCATGCAACTTCCAGCTTTGTCGTATTTCCGATTTTCACGCCGTCCAATGCCATGCCATGTTTATTAAACCCTATTTCCGGTTGACATGCGCGCGCACCGATCAACTTCAGGAGACTGGAAACTAACTGGCACGGGTAAGAGCTCTGTGACAAAAGTGTGACAAAGCTGCATGATATCTACTTATGTGTATGTATGGTTTTAAATATCATTCTGTCTGAGGATGTCTTTAAAAAAAAGTCGAAAATTTACAGTTCACTTCTCGTCTTGTTTTGATTCACATTTTGCAATCTCAAGATGTTTTGCTCCTTCGGAAACTGTTTTTTGTTATAAGTTTATTAAGTTGTCAGCTGCTCATGGTTTTTAAGTCAAAGTTTGTTGTTTTTTGTTTAATGCTGATATTTAAAACTGACAGGCACATACTAAGTTGTGGTTCACACATGCTACTCAGGAATCTGTCATTGATAGGGAGGGAATATGTCATTAGTTTTTGTTAGTTTGAAATGGTTTGGAAGAAAACTTTTTGATGAAATAGGTCAGGGTCTATGTTACGTGCGTGGTCCCGAAAGAATAGGTATTTATTTTGGCTCTATTTCCATATGCAACAAAGATAGTGTCAACCAGTTGTATTCCTCAAACAATTTATTTATCCACGCGTAATTGTATAAGTTTATAAGTGTCTTAACAATAATATTAACAAGTATGAGTAAAACTTATTTCCTCTGTCTGAGTACAACCGAGAGTCTTTATTCTTGAGTGATCGTGAGTCCAACAATGACTCACAATAGTGTTCCAAAATGGATTAACGGCACAAAAGCCAAAAGATAATTATGGAAAAAAAGCCAAGATATTCGTCTGGTATTTTTTAGCTTGTCAACCTAACTCGGTAAGCTATGTCTCCTCGTGGGTTATACTTGTAGGTCTATACTACTCATTTATATATAATATGTAATGGGAAGTATAGTGATTTTTGTGACCTACATCCCAAACGCAATACAGTATATTACAGCAAGATATATTTAGCCACAACAACAACAAATGCGGTTGCGGTTCTAAAATATGTGTTTACCCATGTAAGCAAGCTTCTAGCGCATGCAAGCAAGCTTCTAGATTATGTCTTATTTGTAATGACATTGCAAAAATGCATATTAAAGATAAAATATAAAAATGTCTAATAGAACAATATAATAATAGCGATCGTGACTAAAACACCACACGAGTACATAAGAGTGACATACTAATAGATATTGATTACAAATAAGAAATAGCACAATTTCTTCTATAATACATTGATATTTGCATCCACTTTTGCTTGTATTTTGTCTGGACTCTGGGGCAACCATTTGATGTATTTAAATACTAAAAAATTATTTTATTCGTAATCCTAATATATATAATAAGGATTAATATATTGTAAATATACTCTGATGAAGGCTTTGGAATAAAGTCGAAACACGGTGCCATCCAGTAAATTGCTTTAGTGGCAAGAATCTTTCATCCATACGCAGTTTAAAACAGATTTGACTCGTCTCCAATCCCTGTGGGCTTGGTAGATCAACAGGTAGAGTGTTTGACTAGTATCCCGAAGGTGCAAGCTCAAATCTCGTCCAAGTTACATGTGTTTCTTGTGCAAATTAAAAAAACCGTGTTAGGATTAATATACTATTTGTACTCATGTTAATATTTTAATAAGTTAAAAATCTTGAGCAAAAATAACAAGTAGATGTATTTGTAATATAATTAATTGATTAAATGAAAATATGATCTTGGCACTTTGCTGGACAATTTAAGCAATTGCCTCATGAACCTGAAAAATTCAGGAGACTCAACGGATTCGGATTTGCTTAAATTGTCCAGCAAAATGCGAAGATCAATTATATCTTCATTTAATTTCAAACACCGCTCTGCATAAAACATTCTTTCATAATTAATTGATGTTGATTTACTCTTCAAATGTTGCATTTATCTTATTTATTCCACAAAAGAAATATGGGGTAGTTTAGTATGGAATCAATCAGATTGCACTTTAGCTCATATCCAGCCTCTTTTTTTAAAATTTATAAATAATTTATTGAAGTCTTTAAAATACTGATTTTGAAGTTCAAAGATTGAATTACATCAGCTAGAACTTTAAAAAATATTAAAAGTAATCAGAAATCGTAAGCATAATATGACACATAAACGTAACACAGTACAAATGTCATTGAATTGAAATATATATAAGGTACATTTATTTCATATAGCACGTTTGCAAGGCATTGTTTATACGCTGTCTATTTAATGGCTTTCATAAATATGTATTTGTTAGGTGAAAGTAAGTCAAAAAAATCTCAAATGCTGGCAAATAGCATCGACAAAATACATATATAATGTTTTTTGTATACGAGTTTACTTTATGACAACTCCATTGCAAGACTACCGTTGTTGATACATTTAAACGGTGTAATAGATTAAGACATTGAGCACAGCGGACACCAAATTAAACTGAAACATACAAAATTAATGAGTGCGAACAAAAAACCTTCTCACCATTTAAATCCATCAAAGGGTTGCCCCAGAGTCCAGACAAAATTTAAGCAAAAGCGAAAGCAAATATCAATGTATTATTAAAGAAATTGTGCTAGTTCTCATTTGTGACTAATATATAGTCGTATTTCACTCGTATGTACTCGTGTGGGGTTTTAATCAGGATCAATAATAATTTATAAATGATATTACACGATAGTAATTGCTATTTTGTAACAAATTAACATACTTGCGATACGAGTTTCGTTTTGCACTTCTATAAAATCTACATTTTAAGATTTCAATATTTATTAATTAACCAAGACTGCAAATCAAAGTTAGAGCTTTGTCTCGTGTAATAGTTTTCCACAATCACACAGAACTATTTAAAAAATTGATACTTATGTCTGAAATACATAGTTTTAACTAGCAAATGTTTTTCAACAAGCCAAAGTTTGGCGATGTATTTATTTACAAGAGTTTTGACACACTAAACAATATGTCTTAATTAACGCTTTTAATTAATCTGAATGCTTTGTGACAGTGCAATTATATTTAAGTCAAAATTTTACATATGGCAAAGCATTAGCATCATAAATTTATAGTACCTGGTTTTTTAAACGCAATTTTTGATGCAACTCTTTCGGAGGAGTTCTTTAGAAATATTGCATATGACACAGTGTAGTATAATAATGCTATATCGCTTGTTTGAATGACGACAGTACTAATAAGAGCTTACGAGCACTTTACGAAACGTTACGCAGCTTACGCTGCGTTTACACTATACTGGATTCGCTTATCACGACATCTTCATTTGCTTTATAGAATTAACTGTTCGGAGTAAAAGCTAATTAAGCTGATAGATTTATTGTATTTGATCGTTTTTCTGACATTGAACATTATCATTGCCTTATATAAAAAAAGAATATTTAACCTGCTACGGTAATTAATAAGGTATGGTGCATACCGGGCCTTAAAGCTATGTAATAAGCCGAACAATGTCTAATAACTTTACTCAAGAACACGGCTCATTAATTACTACTCAGAAATATGACTTTGGGTTGTTCAAATCTAGTACACCTATGGTGTGTTTGGAAAATGGCTTGAACCCGGGAGTATCGTTACATGTTTGTAGACGTAGATTGGTATAGTCCTGAGGAGAACTGTTTTTGTTGTTGTTGACGCAACCTTAGTGAGAGTCATTTTCAGAGTCAAATGAGGAGTAAACGTCTGGGTAGCCGTATTTGTTATCTGGCTCTTACGTGTTGTTTTGTGTGTACAGGAAATGTGTGGGTGTCAATTGTGTATTGTCATTGTGAACTAATATAACATGCGATGTTTTTAGTTCTGATGTGTGAATTATTTGTTATATTTTTATTTATAATAAGTGGGTGTCAATTGTGTCTGGTAATTGTAACTGTCGAACGTAGTTTGTAACTTTTCTCCTTATGAAAGAAGTTATTTGCTAAATATTTTTGTGTTACGTTTTTTTATATATATACTGTCTTTTGGCATTAATGTGTTCTTTTGCCAGTTTTATGATGGAAATATGTTTTTAGTTCTTTATAAGTAACAGCAGTTTTGTTTGAAATATGTGTAGCTTTTATTATCAATTATAACACTACTTTGTACCACTTGACATAGGAAAATGCAATAAGTTCTTCATATTGGCAAAAGGGTGGATTGATTTCACAAATGAGGATCTCATTTTCATTGATATATAAATAATATATTTTGTGTTTTTGTAGAAGACTAAAGCTTTAATAAAAACAATTGGTCCATAATAATGAAAGTTAGCATCAATTTATGGCTCGTCGCTGTTGGCTGTTTGGGGATGTTGTATATTTACTTCCTTCCAAAACTAAACAGGTCTTTTGGTATTATTGACCAGGAACATGTACTTTCAAAATTTAACGTTTTTCAGTCTCCCACGAAATATATCAATTATGATCATCCTTCAATTTCACTCTACATGAGAATGTCAGGTAAAAGAGATGACCACAGACATAGATTTTACTGCAATATGTTGAAGACGATTCCGCTTTTCTGGCCAGGATGGCTAGGTAAAATGGTTCTTGTACTTGATGAAGAATCAGAGAAGGATCACGCCTTCGGTGAAACACTATTGAATCAAACGAAAGAACATTTTCCCAATCAAACTTTTCAAGTAAAATACGAGCCACTACCAAAGGATCCGTTGGTTTTAACTTATCCTGGTCAGCTAAATCCACCTGGCTATAATCGTCAGTTATGGAGCAGCTTTTTCATAGATCTTTACACCAATGACGAGGTAATAGCTTGGTTAGATAGTGATTCGCCATTTAATTTCCCTGTAACCATATCAACTATAAAGGCAAATGGCAAAGTAAGAATTCTTAGTTCAGAATGTGCAATGAAAGTTGACTGGGGAGAATCATGGGCAAAAACCACAAAGTTAGCTATAGGAATGCCACAAGTTGCTGATTTTATGACATACTTTCCTGTGTACATCTACCGTGACACGTTTACACACTGCAGAGACCACATATTAAAAAACTTCAATACAAGTAACTTTGAAGAAGCATATCAACAATTTCACGAAACAAGCAATGCTCTTTCTCCAGTAAACGTTATCATCAGCTACGCTTGGTTCTTTGAGAAAGATCGCTACGACTGGAATATAGAAATGTGCAGTGATTTGTCTGTTTACAACAACAGTCTACCTGAAGGCCACAAAATTCAGAAAAATGACACAGTTAATGGAAATAGATTATTAGCACAACCTCAAACTGCCTACCATGGACCGTTGAATGCCCAAGATTACTATGCAAAACTCATTCCAATTTCCTACTGTTTGTCAATAAGTGAAGCTGCCAAGAGTGAAGACATGTGTATAAAATATTCGCGATTGGATCTCAATCGCTTATTTAATCTATTCAAATCAGATATGCACAGCTTAAAAGAAAGGTTAAATATTCCCCATCCATGTATTGGAAATCACACTCAGTATTGCTTAAAGATCTTAAAACGTCATGTCAAGAATGTTGGTGATGAAATCAAAGATAACAAACGAAGAATGACATGGGAAGACGTCACAACAGTTGATTCTATAGCCCGCATACTAGGTGTAAATTGTCCGCCCCAACCAGTTTAGTAATCATAGTTACTATATACATATGTCTGTAGTAAAGTGGGCATATGGCCATTCTTATCATTTGATTACTTTAGATAATTTTAAATGGAAAAATTATATAATCTCTTTTTTAGTTTACTGCAGACTGCCTTAAAGACATCACGACGTTAGACCACGAAGGAGGTGGCATAACTGAACAAATCCTACACACCATAAACAATGCCAAAAAGAACATTACCTTTACTAAAAACGAACAGCACGACAAACAACTTACCTTCCTCGACATCCAACTAACCAGAACAGATGACGGTACACAAAACACACAAGTATACAGCAAAACCACCCACACAGACCAAATACTCAATTTCAACAGCAATCATCCAACACAACACAAAATAAGCTGCATTCGAACACTTTTAAACAGGATAAAGACTCATTGTAATACTGAAGAAGCCAAAAAAACAGGACGCAACTACTTATACTCCACATTTATTAAAAACAACTACCCTAGAAACTTCATAAACAAAACTATATAAAAAATACGAAACAAAACACAAACCGACAAAAGCAACAAAAAACCGGACGAAACAGAAAAAATCGTCACATTACCATACATAAACGGAACATCAGCAATGACTGCCAGACTTCTTCAACCATTTCATATTAACGTCGCCAAAAAACCTACAAAAAAACTCAAACTCATATACTCAAAACTTAAGAAAAAGGACAAAAAAACTACAAACAACACCAAAACTAAAACATAACACTCTAGTATTATTAACACCAATCATATTCACAATACACCAAAACCCATGGCAACGCATTTCACCCCATCCAATCACATTAATCCACCCACTAATCCAATTAGACACTCTAAACGTGTCCAAGCTAAAAGCACGTGTAAATAAATATCCTCATTCCGATGAAGGCTCGAAGCAACGAGTCGAAAGCTCAATAAAAATCATTTAAAATCAGGAGAAACTTTTATCTTTTATATATATATATATATATATATATATATATATATATATATATATATATATATATATATATATATATATATATATATTACGGATAGTAATCCTGGATAAAAGAGCTCTCAATATTCTATATGTTAGAAGAGCGTAAGATAAAATAAAATGAACTAAAATAGAATGGACAATTGTTTGCTGTCCCTACTCGGAGTTTCACGCCGTAGGGCGATCTTCAGGCAACTAACAGATAATATTTTATTTGCTGACTATATACATCGACTAAAAGGTGTTAAGTTACATGACGGCATGCACTAAACATGTCGGAACGTTTATTAAAAATGTTCTTTTTACATCCTTTCAGGATAAGTAGCCTTTCTTCAAGGCAAAGACGGCAGGTTCTTTGGTTTTTGTTCGGAGGTGGAAGTTGTTTGATGAAGTCCCATTTAATGTTGTAGTTACGTTTGTTTTCTTTCAGTGTCCACGTGTATTTAGAAAGTTCTGTCTCGTTCCGGTATTTAATGTTCGTAATTGATTTAATGTGGTTTCGATATCGTGTCTTAAAAGCGCATGCAGTAACACCTATGTAAGTTTTTGTTTCGTTGTTGTCAGTCGTTGTCACGTCGGCTTTGTAAATCACGTTGGGTTTCAGGCAATTGCCATTTGTCGGGCATAGATGTTTCTGTCTGCAGTTACATTTCTTTGATGGGTTGTTCTTGTTCTGGGTTGTGTCTGGGTTAAGTCTTTTTAAAATAGTCTTGTTGTGTCTGGTTATGAAAGTTTTCATGTTTTCGCCGCAGCTGTAGCTTACGCGTATTGTGTGTCGGTTGAATATCTTGGAGAGTATAGTATTTGGTGGGAAATGTTCGTCGATAAGTTGTAGGAAGTCATGGGCGATGTGTGTTTTTACGTTTTTGCTGTATGGTGGGTTAAACCAAGTGACGTTACGTTTTCTGTTGTACGTGGTGTTTACATTGATGTTCGATGGATTAAAGGTGAGTTGGGTGGTGAAGTTGCTTTGTTTAAGAGCTTGGTTGTAAATTGGTGCGGCATTTTCGAAGGTGTCTTTGCCAGATGAGAGTGTGTTAATTCGGTTGTTGATGGATGTGGGTAGTTGGCGTAATACTGATGGTGGGTGGTTGGACGATCTGTGAATGTAGAGGGGCTCGTCGTTGGGTTTTCTATATGGTTGGTAGTTGTCGTTGCTAAGGTCAAAGGTTACGCCAAGGAAGTTTGTGCGTTCATGGTTTGTCCTCGCTGTGATTTTTAGTCCAAGCTCGTTAAATTGGTTTGAGAGGGTTTTTCTTTCTTTGTCGCAGAGTCTTCCAGATTTGGTATTTATGACTGCAAGGCCATCGTCACGGTATAAGACGACGTTGTTTCCGTACCGGTGCTGTAGTTGGTCGAGTAAGAATACCCCTACAATTTCGCAAACTTCCGTTCCATCATAGCTGCCCATGGTTACATCAAACGTGTTGGTAGCGTTGTGTTTGGACCATGATTTGTTTTGGTGGAAAAGAAGGGATTTTCTTGCGTGTTTTATAATGGTGTGGTCTTTTTCTGTGATTGTTTTGTATTGTTTTGCCCACGCTAGGCATTTGTCCAGTAGGTGTTCGGTGATCGAAGGGTAAAAGTCAACTATGTCAAATGATATGAATGATTTTCTTTGTTTTTCGGTGATTTATTTAAACCAAGTGATAGCATCTGTTGTGTTGCGCCATTGGTTTAGTTTTAGTTCGTTTCGTATTACGTTTTTGATGTTGTCTAGGAAGAATTTGCTGACTTTTTCGAGGTGGCTTTTTGCGGGGTTGATGAGGCGGTTTTTGGGGTTGTTGTCAAAGTCTGGGTTGTGGTCCTTTAAAGATATGAATGCTGGGGAATGGTTCATGGTGTTTATTCGGTCGGCGATTTTTAGGTTGTCAGCGATTAGTTTTAGTTCGGAATTTATTTCTTCTACAGTGTCTTCTTGCGTGTGTTTGTATTTCTTTGTCACATTGTCTGTTAGTAGTTTATTGTAATTTGAGGCGTCCATTTCATAGATGTTTGTTGTTTTGTCGGCGAAGATGAAGACGTTGTTTCATGCGTTGATTTTGTTCATGTCTTTGTGTAATGACTTTAGAAAATCGTTGTGGATGCTGCGGAACTCTATGTTTTCGATTAACTGGGAAAGGTCGTCTTCAAAAGGTTTTAAGGATGGAATTAATGGTGGGTTACGTTTTGTCTTTAAGCCATAAGTGTGTGGTCTTTGTGTTCGAATGGCGTCGTCGGTGTGGCGGAGAAAGAAGTGGGCTTTCCATCTCATGCGTTGTACGAAGTCGTGGGTTTTGGTGATGAGGTTTCTGAGATAACTGTCTTTAGCTGGTAGGCCAATGTTTTTCAGCGAATAGTTGAAATTAATCTGTTGCATAATTGTCCTCGAGTTGTCAGGTTTATAACAGCGCTCGACTTTAAAAGGAGCGAATATTCGCTCCCTATGTATTAAGTTATTGCCTTTCATCATCACCCCCAATACAGATAATTCTTCCAACAAATACGCATCTTTCATAAATTTCTGTATCTGGAGAATTTTGTTTTCTCTTGTATTCTATCTTTTTCATAAATTTTAATTCAATAATATAACAACGATAGCAAAAATGCCATGATGTAATTATTTAATGAAATAATAATGTCACAAGAAATACTATAACAATTCATCTAGAAGCACTTTCATCGAATAAAATCTGTAAATCATGGAAATTTTCTTGTAATATCTTTATCTGCTCTTTTTAAAATATCCACTTTTTAAAATATCCATTTCGTTGAAAGTATTTCGTTCAATTTAACAAGAATACAACCAGATATAAGTAAAAAACAAAAGTAGGAACCATCAATTTCTCTCTTCTTATTGTTCAACAACACCCATTATATATACACACAAACAAAAATTAAAATAATACAAATAATAAATAATATAGCCAAAAAAATTAAAAAAAGTGTCAAAATCATCATCATAATATTTTCCATTTTCATTCAATAATTTTTCTCTTCTTCTATCAATTTCTCTAATTCAATAATTTTTGTTTCTTTATCATTTATTATAATATCTTGTTCTTTTTTCTTGTTTTTAAGTCTTTCAATTTCTACATTCCATTTTTTAACATATAATTTTAAAGCAATTACTTCTTTAGTTTTTTCCTCATTTCGATTCAAAATTAATAAAATATAATCCTTATGATATTTTTGTTTATTCACTGCCATCATAAATTGAATGGATAGTTACAAAATTTACATAAGGAAATTTTTTCCAAATAAACTTTTGATAAAAATGCTCATATTTCTAAACATCAATTCTTGCTTTATATGGTTCATTTAAAGTTATTGATTCGTCATTTCCTTTTTGTAATTTTTTAAATCTAAAGACTAAAAATGATTTTGTTCTTGAACCTTTCCACAATTTTTGGATCATGTTCATAGTTATGATTATAATGCAATTTTTTTCTTAAAACTTTAGTTTCATTTTGAATATATTTACATAATTCTTTTAATGCATTAAGTGTAAAACTTTCGTTAAAAAAATGATAATAAAATTTTCTTTTTATAAAATTATGAGTATATATGTATTAATCAACAAAAAGACATCGTCCTTTTCTTTAAGTTTTTTTACCAATATTTTATGTATATCAATTTATATTTTTTTTCACTTAAAGATATATTTATCATATTCATTTCTAAATAATTAGTAATAATGTTTTTTTTCTTTCCACTAATTTTTTATTGTTGTCTTGAGAAATTTGAAGTCTTTCTTCGAATTCCTTTATGTTTTTTCTATAATATTTTTTTCCAATACCTAATTTATGATTTTAACTTGATTACTATAATTTTCAAGCAATATTTCTTCTAACGTTCTTTTATCTTTTTCTCTATCGTTAAATGCTTTAACATATTCATCAAAAAAGTATTAATTAATTTCACCAGACAAATATGGATAATGGAGAGAGTTTTGGAGAGAGTTTTGTTCACTTTATGAATACATTTTTTGATTTAAAAAATTTTTATTTTCTCTAATAATTC